GGGGGGCAGTGGGGGCCTCCTGAGCTGTGAGCAGGCCCTGCCCAGGCCTGGGGCCCCCAAGGCCCTGAGGCCCTGTCACCTGGGAGGCAGCCTCCTGACTCCTCAAGGGCGGTCCCTGGCTACCCTCCCAGCCTCGAGGGAACTCCCTGGGTGGGGGCAGAGGACCCTGGAAGGGCTGCATGTCACCAGCGAGGGTGCCATGCCATCAGCATCGTCTTCCCCCGAATAGCCCGACGGCCTAAGAGCAAATCCCCCTGAAAAGATAAATACTGCCCGGCCGGCCTGGCTCAGGGGGTGAGCGTCGACCTAGGAACCAGGAGGTTCCGGGTTCGGTTCCGGTCAAGGGCACAGGCCCTGGTTGTGGGCTTGGTCCCCAGTGGGGGGCGTGCAGGAGGCAGCCGATCCATGATTCTCTCTCATCATGGATGTTTCTCTCTCTTCTCCCTCTCCCTTCTTCCCTTCCACTCTCTCTCTCTGTCTCTCTGAAAAGCAATGGAAAAAATATCCTTGGGTGAGGATTAACCAAAAGAAAAAAAAATTTTGTCTACATCTGCATCATCTCAATGTTAGCATCTATTAACTGTTTTTTCTCATTCAAGTTAAGATTTTCCTATTTCTTGACATGATGAATAACTTTCTATTATATCCTGGACATTTTGAAATTTATGTTATATGACTCTAGATTTTATTTAACTTTTCTGTTTTAGCAAGCTACTTCTGACCCATGTCATTAAAAAAAGGTTGTTGTGCCCTGGCCAGTGTGGCTCAGTGGTGGAGCATTGGCCCACACACCTAAGGATCAAGGGTTCAATTCCCAGTTAAGAGCACATACCTGGGTTTGAACTTCAAGCACCCCTGGTCAGAGCTTGTTGGAGAGGCAATCAATCAAAGTGTCTCTCTCACATCAATGTTTCTCTCTCCCCCCTCCCTCCCCTCCCTCCCTTCCACTCTCTCTAAAAAGTCTAAGGAAAACATATACTAGAGGGAGAAATTAACCAAAATAAAAAAAGAAAAAAGAAAGAAAAAGGTTGTTGCTGACTCATTCCTGCCAGGTGGGGTGGAAGTCCATGTTCCCCATTTGGCCTCCAATAGACACTCGAGTACAGGAGAGGTATCTTTATTGCTGGGTGTGGGTGAGAGCTCCAGCTTCCCACATGGCCTTCACTGACATCATCGCACCAGTGTTCCAGGGAACACCACCCTTGCAGGTCTGGGTGGGGGGTTCCAAACTGTGTTCGACTTGGTTCTCTCCGACCTAAATTGCACCATCATGGCTGCCGCCCCTGCCAATCGGAAGCCAGCCCAGCCCAGGAGATTCAATTAAAATGCTAAGTTAGTGCAACGGACTAACCCCCCTCAATGGCACATTCTTCCGAAAGGAAATTAGAGGAAGCAGAAGATGCTCTGTCTTTCCTTTTGACGGATGACAATGAGGACACTGTTCCTGGCTCTGAAGGAAGTGGTCAGCGGCATCGGCACCCACGGGCCGGGGGGCGCCTCACCTGCCACCAGCTCCAGCTTCTCGCCGGGGTCGCCCTCCGAGTAGAGCTTGGGGTGGCAGCGGTACCCGATCTGGCTGATGAGGCTGGCGGGCAGGGCCACCAGGTCACGGCGGATGAGGACACAGGAGCGGCTCTCCAGCGGCACTGGCTCGGGCTTCTCCGGCACTGTGGGCACAGAACCCGCGGTCAGGGGTCCCCAGGAGCAGCCTGGGCAGGGACGGAGGGCGGAAGAGCCTGCCCTGCCGCCCAGGCCTGGCGGACCCCTGCCGTCTGCAGGGAGGACCAGAATAAACTAGTGGGTGGAGGAAGGCAGGTGAGGGATCCCCGCTGCGGCCGTGTGTGCCCCGGAGTAAGTTGCCGAGGCCCAGGGGGCTCCTGGGAGCATCGACCAGCAGAGGCTCAGGCAGGGCCCACAGGTGGGGGCACCGCCCCTCCGTGAGCGGCACCTCCCGGAGGCTGCACCATCCAAACCTGGCGAGAGGCGGCTCCATCGTGTCTGCTAAGCACCTGCCAGCCAGAACGACAGGCGGGCAGATGCGGCAGCTGCGAATGTTCCTGACAAGCACCACGGGGGAGGGAGTGGGGTGCAGTCAGGGATCCCTGAGCTACAGTGGGGGGATGGTGGCCGGGTGGGGGCTCAAGGAGGCAGGTCTACAGGGCACTTGCTGGGCACCCACTACACCCACTGCTGCCCCAGGGCCAGGAGACGAGGGGGGAGGGCCAGGCAGGGTGGTGCCAACACTGAACACAGAGGGCCCAGCCCCACCAGGTCCGAAGCTGCCCCAAATCCCCACCCAGGGGCCCCAGGCCACTGCTCCCCCCGTGCCCTTGGCTCAGACCCTTTGTAGGGAGGCACCGGCCAGTCCAGCTGCGGCCCAATTCCAGGAGGAGAGAGGGGATCCCCCCAGTTAGCAGACCTGGGCCCACACAGATGAGGGCGGAGTCGGGGGGCATTCCCCATGAGGCATGTGGGGGGGACACAGCGGGTTGGTGGGGATCAGCCGAGAGCGATAGAGAATCTTCCAAACCCGGAATCCCCCGGGCACTTGGGGCGCAGGAAAACCCCACGGCATTTACAACAATTCCGCCCCCCCGTCCCCCCACAGCCGCAGGGACGGCGCAGCGGACAGGCTGCCTGGCGCCCACAGCGTTTACAGAGCCCTGGGTCTGCTGCTCCGTCCTGCGCTTTCTCTAAACAGCACGCCTTGTGCCCAGCCGGCCCCAGCGCAGCCCCCAAGAGCCAGAGACTCAGATCCAGAGCAGGCGAGTCTCTGCTCGCGATTCCTGCTGGGCACGTGCCAGGGCCACGCCAGCTAAAAATACCCAGCCCCCAGGGGGCGCATCTGGAGAGGTGCTCCGATTCCTCCTGCTGCAACTGGGTTCTGGAAATCGGGGAGCTTGTGCCCAGGTGGTGATGGGCGGCCGTGTCCCTGTGGCCTCTGGGTGGGTGGCGAGGGGGGGGAACGCCTCTGGCGGGCGGGGGCGTGGCCGCTGCAGACACTCCGCCCAGGACACCGAGGTCCCCAGAGCAGGGGCCCAGGGGCCTCCTGCCACCCAGGACCGGCTCCTGAGCGGGGCTGCGGCCCTCACCACCCACGGCCCCACTTCAGCCAGCAGCCACGGGGCCCCCGGGGCGTGGGCTCCAAACGTGGGGCCCAGGACACGGGCGGGAGGACCTGAGAGGCAGTGAGCTGTCCTCGGAGGTGAGTGGTTGCTCTCGAGGTGGGAGGTGGGTCCCGGCGGGACCAGCAGCAGCCTCCTCACGAGCGGGCACAGTCACACGGCCAAGAAAACGCAGGTGTGGTCATGGGACACGCGGGTGGCCCTCAGGGCTCCAGTGGGTCCGAAGGTCCCCGTGTGCCTTGGGCCCTGCTGCTCCGGCCTCGGTGACCCTGTGACCGGCTGCGTCGGCCAGTGAGACAGGACCTGGGGCAGCATCCTGAGGAGGCCCGTCCTGTGGATCCCACTCGGACGGGGCCCCTGGAGGACTCAGATCCACAGACACAGGAAGTGGACGGTGGGGGGAGGGCGGGGAGGGGGCGGGGAGGCGTGAGTGTTCAATGGGGCAGAGTTTGTTTGGGACGATGAGGAAGTCGTGGAGATGGTGGCGGCGGCTGCACAGCAGCTTGGAGGTGCCCAATGCCGCCGAGCCGTGTGCTCAGAAAGGGGTAGGATGGCCCGGCCGGCCCGGCTCCGTGGCTGAGCATGGAACTATGAACCAGGAGGTCACAGGTCGATTCCCAGTCAGGGCACAAGCCTGGGTTTCAGGCTCGGTCCCCAGTGCGGGGCGTGCAGGGGGCAGCCAATCAGTGATTCTCATCATTGATGTTTCTATCTCCCTCTCCCTTCCTCTCTCAAATTAATAAAAATCTCTTTTTAAAATATGAGTAGGATGCCCTGGCCGGTGGCTCAGTTGGTTAGAGCATCGTCCCGAATGTCAGAAGGCTGTGGGTTCAATTCCCAGTCAGGGCACAAACCTAGGTTGATCCCTGGTCGGGGCGAGTACAAGAGGCAATTGATGTTTCTCTCTCACATCAATGTTTCTCTCTCTCTCTTTCTTTCTCTCCCCCTAAAAAAACAAAACAATAAAAACATATTCTCGGGTAAGAATTAAAAAAAAAGGTAAGGTGGTCACTGTGGCGTGTATTTTACCAAAACAAAGAAAAACACGTTCAGAGTGTCTGGGGAACCACCAGGTGAGACCCAGGCAGCCCCGGCAGCCCCCCCTTTGGAGCCGGGCAGGGACGGGGAAGGGGGTGCCCCCTCCACAGAAGTATATGCCTCTTGTTGAAATGGCAGAGGTAGGAAGCTGACCCCCTAGTCCAGCGGTTCTCAACCTGTGGGTCTCGACCCCTTTGGCGGTCGAACAACCCTTTCACAGGGGTCGCCTAAGACCATCCTGCATATCAGATATTTACATGACGATTCGTAACAGCAGCAACATGACAGTTATGAAGTAGCAACGACAATAATTGTATGGTTGGGTCACAACACGAGGAACTGTATTTAAAGGGCCAGAAGGTTGAGAACCACCTAGTCCTTAATTACATAGAAAAATACAATGTAAAACCGGGCGGAGAGAAGGTGCTAACTCACACCAAGTGGAGGCAGTTCGTGGCCCAGAAACAGGGCCACGCGAACACGCTTGGCGGATCCGTGACAGAGGCGCACACGGCTCTCCACGGAGGGGAGCGCCCGGTCACACAGAGACGCCCCGGCCTCAGCCTCCCCTCGCACGACGACCATCGTAGACCTGAACCTGAGACACAAAATGGTAAACTCGAAGGAAACAGGAGACAATCTTTGTGATCTTGGGTTCAGCTAAAAGCGCAGACATGGCTAAAGGCACCCCCATACAGCACTAATGGCTACACGGCTGATCACAATGAACAACTCCTGTCCGGGGCTGATGGAAGGCCAGCTGGGTGTGGGCTGGAGGAAGGACTCGCCAGTCACAGGTCTTACAGAGGACTCGCATCGAAATACCTCACAGAGGACTCTCAGAACTCAACGGTAAGAAAAGGAGCAGCCCAGTTTTAAAGACGAGCCAAAGACCTGCCCAGCTGGTGTGGCTCAGTGGTTGAGCGTCAACCTATGAACCAGGAGGTCGCTGGATCGATTCCTGGTCAGGGCACAGGCCTGGGTTGCAGGCTCGATCCCTAGGAGGGGGCGTGCAGGAGGCAAGAGGCAGCGGATCGATGACTCGCTAAAAATCAATGAAAACATATTTTTTAAAAAGATGTGGTGGGAGTCTACTGTGCGACCACAGGGCACTCAGCGTAGAAGTCAGGACCAGAGAGAGACACGCATCCATGTGAGGTGACACCCGGCGGTCCTGAGACGCACCCCCCTTCGAGGACGCTACAACGCGGGACAAAACGCACTCAGAGCCAACGAAATACGGTCTGTCGGGTAGAAGCTAACAACGTCGGGCAGGGAAGGCCAGGAAAGAAGGAAAACGAAGGTGGAAACAGAACCCAAAGGCCTGTGTACAAACACCAGCTACCCGCCCCCACCCCGCCCGGCTGAGACAGACGGCGCCACGGCAGGTGCCAGGGTCCCCCTGCTTGGGAGGTACAGGTGCAGCTGCTGGGACGACACAGGGCAGGAGCCGTCAGACCCGGGGCAGGAGCCGTCAGACCCGGGGCGCGTGCTGCAGAACCGGCCGTGCCGCCCGGAGGTGGACAGCCCCACACGCGAACGTCGTGAAGGACCTCGAAACCCAAGGAAAGAGCACATTGAGCTCAAAGAAAGAAGCAAAGTGAAATGACAGCACGTGGAAGTGTATGCGAGAGAGAAAACGACCCAGCGGCTGGTTCTCGGGCAGGACTGGGGTGATGGGGACCCTGGCAAGTCTCCGTGAGGAAAAGGGGGGGCGGGGAAGACGCAAACCCCACCATACGGCACCACCCAGTCTGTGACCAGGTCAGCGCGTCCACCGTGCCGGCCACGGGCAGGCCTGCAGGCGTTTGGCCACATCGGCTTCTGCTGCACATCCTTGTTTGCTTTTACTTAAATATAAATATAAATATATATATAGATTTCAGAGAGGAAGGGAGAGAGAGAGAAAGACAGAAACATCAATGATGAGAA